TACACACCGAGGGGGGGGGACTGCACCGGGTCGGCGGAGGCTGACAGACACAGACACAGAGAGAGACACACACACACACACAGTCTATTTAAGGTTTAACCAGACCAAGAGTGAAACACCGAACCTTAGAGTGACTGTGAGGACAAAGAGACAAACGCCTCAGTTCTCGTACATGTCTGTGCCACGAGGGAGGAGGGTCTGCAGGTTCCCACAGCAGCCACACACCAGCTGGATTTACCAGTTGTTTACTGGGGAAGGCTGAGCCAATCATTCTGGTGGCAACTGGACTGAAAGCCTGAAGACTTTTCTCTCTCACTGCACACAGATTCATGATCTGGAGACTCGGGACCTCAGCGCCTCCACTCGTCTGCAACATCATCGACTAGACTCAAAGTTCTGACTGTAACATCGACTAAAGCCGATGTCCTGTCTCTATAATCATTAATTAAAGACACTGTTCTGCCTCTGAAGTCATCGATTCAACTCGTTGTTGTGTTTAAAGTCTGTGACCACTGAGTGAATTCACCTGCTGTCCAGGACGATCCTCAACTCAACCGTTATTTCTATAGCACTTAAAAACAACTACAAGAAAAAGTGCTTTACCTACACCTGGTAAACATAACAGTCAACATTTAAACTGACGGCACAGACAAAAGTGAGCAACACCAGTGAAACAGGTAAAACTACGAGGAGCCGAGAGCCAAGGTAAATAAGTCTTTAGTTTGGATTTAAAGAGAGAGAGTCCAGTGATACTGAAGCTGTGTTCAGATACACAGATTTAAAAGACTCTGTGTTCGGCCTGAATACAGTTTAAAGTCTTCGAGGTTCAGTGCAGTGTGAGGACACTCAGCACCACTGAGGGTCAGAGCTGGTCTCTGAATATGAGTAGACGCCGTCCACCCACCGTTAGTAAACACTGGTTACCAGCGCTGGGTGGCTTGAACTCATTGGTTACAGGCAAACTTGTTCTTCCTTCACATGTTCAAATCCCCTGAACAGAACACTTGCGTTTGTGTTCTCACTAGTTTCACTGTTCCTCAACGGAGGTTTTTCATAAATGCAAGGTGCTGCAGCCTCTCACCTGAGGACTGCTGTGACTGGCTCGGCATCTGCCAAACTGCCGACTCCTTCAAATCCTCTGCTTCACGTCGGACGTTGCTCTGACCGGTCTGACCTTGGAACTCCCGGCTGAAACACTGACAAACAACATGGTGTGTTAATGCAGGTTCACATTCTCCTGAGGTGTCAAAGCAGCAGTGTCAAGGAAACATCAGGTATTTACTTTGAAGAAGCTGGAACAAACTGTTTACATAGTTTCCCTTAAAAAAACAACTTAAATCACCAGACTTGTTGCCAATAAATTCAAACTAGTCATGTACAGCTGCAGAGCCCTGTTGGATTCTAGGTGTCTGGTGGGGCTCGGTACAAGCTTCATGGAACCTAATGCTGTCTCAAACCAACCAGGCCTTACATCCACACTTTGGCTGTTGCTGGGGTGGATGACGATGACCACCTCCTTCAGGTGGCCGGAGCTTCTCCTGCGGCTGTGGGCGTGGATCTCTCTCAGCAGGACTTTGGAAACCAGGTCCCCGGGGAAGCCCAGGTTTCCTGTACCGATGGCTGGGAAGGACAGAGACGCCATCCTGAGCTTCTCAGCCTGCTCCAGACAGCATCTGATGATGGACATCAGCTCCTGACACAGAGGAGACACGGGGGTAATGAGTGAGACGGGGGAGGAGCTGCTGTACAGGGCAGGAAACACACAGCGTGGTACAACGTCACACAGGGAGGCGACGGGAGCCCGGCAGGCTCAACTGGAAGGGTTACACTCCCCTCAGCTAAGCACATTTACCGAAGTACTGCATTTAAGTACACATTTGAAGTACCTGTACTTTACTTATTCCATTTTCTACCATTAAAATAATTTGTACATTACAGAAATACTGTATTTATCTGCCATGTGACTTCACAGGTTGAATTTCTACAAACAAACATGATGAGTGTATAAGGATGTAAAGCCCCAACAGGAGACAACGGTTTAAACCAGCTGCCACAGCTGTAGTTCTGGACTGTGAGTATCTGATGTTCTAAGAGTTTCTGTGGAACATCCTCTGAACTGATCCTCCCACTGTTCCCACTTCACACTGTTACTACTTACTAAAATGCCATGATCATGAAAGTGGTGTTCAGCTGTTCAGAGTAGTGTAGTGTTGTGGTACTCGAGATCGGTCTTGGACTCGGTTTAGATGGTCCTGACTACAGCACCTCTCACCTGCTCTGCCCGGCCGTCTCCTCGGTCCCAGCAAGGACAAACAGTGTGAAAGACACTCCGACATGACAGGTTGAAGCCCTCGGTGATGATGACGTTGCCGTACTGTAGCTTGGCCGCGCTGGCTGCAGACTGGACAGCTGGCTGCAGGTTGGGCCCGGCCATGCCCCGGATCGCCTTGGAGACGGCTCCCACATTCAGGTCCATGTCCTCACCGATGGTGTTGACGATAACGTCAGTCTGTGGACCACGGTGAGAGTGTCGGACACAGGGTCAGGACATTGTCAGCAGAAACCTAATATACAGCACCTCTGTCTTTTCTGAAGTAAAAATACCATCCTGTACACAAGTCTTAGGCCAATATGGGTTCTGTTGGACAAAGTTGTGGGGATCGTTTTTCTCAGTCTCTTTATTGAGATACGACCAGAAAATATGCACACAATGTAAAAAACTGTCTCCTACACACGCTTTCAGTTTGAGCTCAAACACAAAAACTCAGGAAAGCCAGTCAGGTCGTTTGCACACAATGTAAGAAACTGTCTGATCATGTGACTGCTCTGTGCTCAGACACTTCACCGGTTACTCTGATGAATAAACTGTTACTGTAACCAGCAGAAATAAAGGATAAAACCTAAGCTAACACCCAGACTCAGCCTCACAGCCAGGCTTGCTTGGATCAGGATGGTGACAACTGAAGTGTTTCTCATTCTTACCTGTACGTCTGTATCCACAGCCACATGCGGTATATTACTCAAACGATGCACGGCAGGTTCATACTCACCGTCTGGTCCTCGATGTTCCCCTTGCACAGAACAATCCTCAGCCCCTCAGCTGTGACCTGCTCGATCCTCCCCGGCCTGCAGCTAAAGGACACAACAGTGAGCGTGGTCACCACTACACAATGGTTGTTTTGCTACTGTTACTCAAACAGAAAACAGAAGCTTAGAGAACAGGACAGAGGTATCTGCCCGTGGTCTGTCTTTCCTTTACACTATACTGAATAGCAGTTCTCACTTTTAGTTTGAGTCTTTTTTCTTTCTTTGACTTGATTTCCATCAGGTCTGATCTGTTCCTGACCTTATGATGTTACAAACATGTGAGACTCCACTAATCTGGTGTTAAATACTTGACTGAGGAACAAAACCAAGGTTAAGAAGCAAGTGAAGAAACAACTATAACCTCACCCTGCAGCCCCTCCAGGTCTGGTGTGTCCCCTGGGACTCTGACCTCCCCTGTTACCCTGTGGGCCTCCACGAAATCCACCTGCTTTCTTCCCAGCTCCTCCTCCTGCTGCTGCTCCTCTTCCTCCTCCTCCTCGACCCCTAGGAGACCTGCTCTGATCTCGACCCCGCTGATTTCTGCTGTCAAGTGAGTGATGAAATTGGTCAGACAAAATGGCCTGAGTGACGTGTTGCTCAGTGAACAGCACCAGCTCACATTAGTCTGCCACAGTCCATCGGTCCAACACTGTGGTCCAGGTAAACACCTCTGGACCAATGAGCGACTACCAAGAGGAGACTGTCACTTTCAGGTCTAAATGCTAAGCAGCTGCATGTTTACTGTACAGACATGAGTGGTATCACTGAACAACCTCACTGCCACAAACCAACTGAGCTCATTTCACTGAGTATCAAACATTCACCTCACTACATCCTGACCAGTGAAAGTCCATTAGAACAACCAGTGGTTCTTAGATTTACCGTGAAGCCGCAGCGCCTCTTCCTCCCGCCGGCGGTGGGACTGTCATGGTGGGTCCGAGGTCAGTGAACTCTTGGTTCACAGCCGAGGCCAGGACCCTGACAGTCTGATCATTGTTGTCCACCAGGTGGATCTCTGTCAGTGACCCCAGACCCTGTGAGCTGTCACAGTACTCCCGCACTGCCTGCGCTATGGTCTGAGCGCAGAGGTCAATAGGGAAGCCGAACACGCCTGAGCTGATCGCTGGCAAGGCCACGGTGCAGCAATTCGCCTTCACTGCCTGGTTCAGGCTCTCTCTGACTGCTAGCTTCAGGTGGGACACCGCCGTTCTCTTGTCGGAGTTGGAGAACCGTGGACCAACTGCGTGTACCACGTACTTGCAAGGCAGGTTACATGCATCTGTTACAATGGCGTCACCTGGGCGCAGACGCCCCCTGCTGGCGATGTAGTCGTTGCTGAGCTGCTGCAGCCGTGGTCCTGCCGCGTTGGGCAGTGCCAGAGCCAGGCCGCCAATGTGCTGCAAATCCTCGTTGGCTGCGTTGACCACGGCGTCGGTGCTGAAGCCACAGATGTCCGCCTTAGTGACCGAAACCAGAACTCCACAGGTGGTCTGCACCCTGCAGTAGCACAGGCCATTTGTATCCTCATAGCTCTCATCTTCCTCCTCTTCCTCATTCTCTGGACGAAGCACCACCACACAGCTGAACTCCGTCATTATTGTCGACAGGAACAGGCTTCCTTGGGACATGAAGTACTTCTTAGCGCCGGGCTTGTCCACAGTGAAGGTGTCGGTGAAGAGAGTACGGATCAGCTCCTGGAAGCAGGATCTGGCTTTCTGGACGTGGGGACGAGCCCCGGTGATGGAGATCCTCTGCCTCTTTGGATCAAACTGTACCATCACTCTGTTAGCTTTGGCAATGCTGTTCCAGTCTAGACGAGCCCCGGTGATGGAGATCCTCGGCCTCTCTGGATCAAACTGTACCATCACTCCGTTAGCTTTGGCAATGCTGTTCCAGTCTTCTGATTTTTTCTTGAAAATGAACTGAACAACGGCGCTGGACTCGACACGGAGGGCCTCTTGAACCCGGGAGTAGTTGTCAATGAACTCCTTCAGAGCGCGGCTGACCTCTCTGACTGGGTTCATGAAGCCGGCCACCGTCACTTTGTCTCTTCTCTCTGGGTGAATCTGAATGTCCACTGTTTTCTTCTTTGAGGAGTTGTAGGTGTCCAGCAGCTGCTGCCTCAGAGCCGTCCAGTTGGGAAGCCCGAGAACTTCCTGATCTTCCAAAGCCACGGTACAAACAGACAAAACCATCATCATCTTGCGCTCTGCGTCGGCGAGGATGCTGTTGGAGCTCCCCAGCAGGAGGAGCCCTTTACTCTCAATACTGTAGACAGCACTGATCCCCTGGGACGTGAACAGGTCCTGTGACATGTCCATGGGGTCCACATTCTTGAGGAAGTCTACAAGACCCGGGGAGAGATTCAGCAGTTTGCCCAGTTGGGAAGCCTGAGAACTTCCTGATCTTCCAAATCCACGGTACAAACAGACAAAACCATCATCATCTTGCGCTCTGCGTCGGCGAGGATGCTGTTGGAGCTCCCCAGCAGGAGGAGCCCTTTACTCTCAATACTGTAGACAGCACTGATCCCCTGGGACGTGAACAGGTCCTGTGACATGTCCATGGGGTCCACATTCTTGAGGAAGTCTACAAGACCCGGGGAGAGATTCAGCAGTTTTTTACTCAAATGCTCCATGATCCATGCTTTAACCTCAAAAACCTCTGCAGGAAGTCCTGTAAGGGTTAAACTGTTGGTGCCCTCGCTGTAGGTCAGGTTCATCTCAGAGGAAACGTCAGACACTGCTTTCTGTAAGCCGTCCTGCTTCAGGATATAAAACATGGCAGGGGACAAATTCACCACCTCAGAGATACTGTTTGTCTGCCGCTCGATCTGATTCATGGCTCTAAGAACGATGTTCTCCACAGGAGCCCTCAGTTGTTTGATGTCGTCGGCTCGGCCCGCCACGGTCACAGCCCCCCGGGACGTATCGAACACCACGTCAGCATGTTCCCTGACAACTGAATGGACTTCTTTTTCTGCAGCTTTCCATGCAGGTGCACTAGCTGGACACTCAAAGGCTGTGAACAAAGACATCTGCTGACGAAAGGCCTGCTGGGCGGTGCCCATCCAGTCGTCTACCTGTTTGGCAGTCAGACCTTTCTGCCTCATGAGGCCTGGCAGAGGGCTGAGTTTCACCTCCGGGGTTTCCAAGTCCACACTGCAGAAGTACGGACGCATCTGATCGTTGATGCTTCTCAGCAGCTTCTTCATCAGGAGGAACTTTCGGACAGCGTGGTGAAGGTGCTCAGTGAAGGGCTTGGGCACGTTCCACGCTAGCCGCTCTTTGCCGTACAAGGCGGTTCCAAGGGACTCGTGGTATGGAAACACTGTGACGGGGATGGACATCATAGCGTGGTCTTCTTTTAAGCAAATGCTTTTCACAACTGCAACAACACAGGGAATGAAAAGAAAGTTCAGGCAGGAGGTTTAAACTTGTAGCTACAAGGAGTTCAAATAAAACAGATTTTCTCTGAGGTTTCTATAAAGACTGTCAGCTAGGACTCAGGATGCACTATATGGACAAAAATATGTGGACACCCTTGTTCCCATGTTTGCTTTTGTTTTTCCTGGTGTTAGGTAATTTCTTAGTTAGATAGATATTGATTAGAGATCTGTTGTATTAGAAGATGTTAGTGTAGCCAGGATGTCTTCCTCAGGCTGTTAAATGCAAGGTTAGTTAAAGCAGAGAAAGGCTGCCGTCAGGGATAAATGTTATTATGACGGTAAAAGTGACCATAATATTTGTCTTAATGTGTAATGTTATGTCAAATTGTTTTAGATACACACCACGAAAACAACAGCCACACACCTTGACTTTTCCTCATGTTTTGGCTAACGTTAGAGCCAGCTGCAAAGAGAGACGTCTCGGCTGACGTTTCTGTGGAGGAGGGGGTGAGCCAACTAAGTGATGATATTGTATAGCAATTCTGGGTTCTGGGTCTTTTTCTGCTTCCGGGCTGCTTGGGCAGCCTGGGGGTTGGAAGATCTCTGGACCCGTAATGTTAATTCTTGCCTGTGACTCTTTGAATAAACCAGCACGGTTATATTTTTTTATATACTCAAGTGGTCTGAGTCGTCCCTCTGAGTTCCTGGTTTGAAAGAACCGGACGAGGCTTTATAATAGAATAGAGCCTTTACTGGTTTGGTCAGAATGAATTCCAATGAATCCAACCCTCCAACTTTGCTTGTGTCCCCCCCCCCCAGGCACAAAGCCAACTTTACAAAGAAACAGAACTTGACTGGCCTGCAGAGCCCCGACCTTAACACCATCAGCGCCTTTAGGACAAACTGAAACGGACTACGAGACAAACCGTATCACTTGACGACAGTGTTGGACCTCGGTGACGCTCCTGTGTCAGGATGGGAGTAAATCCCTGCACATGTTGAAAGACTGAAACAAGATGCGTGTTCGAGCGTCTGATTAAAACCAATGGAGACACAATCACATGCTACACTCTCACATATGGGTGTCCACATACTTTTGGCCAAGCTGAGTATCTCCTATTGTCTTGGCCACAATCTTCATGCCCAACTTCAGCAGACGACGACACACTTTATTTAAAAACTAGAACAGCCTTGAACAAACAACCTGGGCTCAAACATTGGTAGCAAAGCTAAAGTGAAAAACCTCTGGGGTCCCTGAACATGATGATGGCCGCCTGTTCCTCTGGGATCATGACAATCTTGTCTGGCAGAGCCCAGCTTTTCTCAAAGTACAGCTCCAAAAAGTCTGGAAGGAATAAGAGAGAGTTTCAACCACAACAGCATAAATCAGAGGAGTCTGTGAAAAGAGCTCAAGGTTTTTTAGTTACTTCCAAAAGCTGCACTAATGTGAGAGATGTAATGAAATGCAACACATAACCATGTTCTCCCGACTCTCGTCTGTCCACATTTTCACTGCAGACTGACCTCAAGCTGCAGCAGTTTCAGGTTTAGCTCACCTTTGTTTCCCCTCATAGCGTGCAACTTTGAGGCCACTTTATTAGGTACACCTGTACAGTGGTATGGACTTCACCACAACACTTCCACCTTAACATCTGTGTTTACGAAGCTTAACGTTTCAGTTTGTTGTGAAATTGTCATAAATGTATGTTTATTATTAAGGTCATAGTTAAAGGTGGTGTTGTACTGGAAGACGTTATATTCAAAGGCGTCTATATTTTTGCCCTCCCCAGCTACATACATGAGAGGGTCAGAATATTAGGAACACCTAATGACATGGGCGGTGACTGTATATGTGAATCCTGGACTCCTGCAGTGTTTATGTACCTTTATCCACAGGAAGATTTTCCACCCGGATGCTTGTTACCGCAATCAGAGGAAGATTTTCCACCCGGATGCTTGTTGCTGCCTCCAGCAGTCGAGTGGTTAGTCCGTACTTCTTCATTTTCTGATTGGTCTGACTTGCGGTGAGGAACTTGTGGGCATCTGAAAAATACTCTGGGTTACTCCTCTGAAGCTGAAACAGGCTGATCAGGTGAGGGCGGAGAACAGGTGTAGGCTACTGCAAAAGGACATGTCAGGAATGAATGAGGCCTACACCTTCAGCACAACTGGGTTTGTGTCTTAAATATTTTGTCTGACAACCTGTGGATTTATTTTCTGTACTCAAAGTTCTTCTGTTACTGTACAGATGTGAATGAATTTTCATTTTCTAATAACGTCATAAAGAATGACTCGTCTGTTGCTGATGGAGACCAGCGAGATGATCTCCATAACAGATACTACAGTGACACTAGTTTGTCAACTGCCACACAGCTCCTCCCTGTAACTGTCTGCACCATTTTAGTTTATCTCCACTGATGTGTGCTGTCTGTACCCAGCTCTGTTCAAATATCGGAAACAGTCCAGAAACCGTTCATAGATAAGTAGAAAACTAGTTTTTCTTAAAGGACGAGGCCGGTCATTTTCTATATTAACAGTATGTTCAACACTGTGGCTTCTACACCTGTGCCTCCAGTGCAGCAGTGTTTTTCCTACATGAGGCTCATAAGGTTTGGAGCTTGCTGTCATTGACAATGAGGACAAAACTGAAACCTTTCTGAACACTTCAGAGGCGGTTGAAGGGTTTTGGGCGGAGTCTTTCTTTACACCAGGCAACGATCAGCTGAGACAGTGGGGTCTGGATTAGGATTCTAGTCTTGAACAGGTCTCATTTTGCCTCAGCGTCACCTTGGGCCGTTTCCTACCTGTGGGCTTGTTGAACGTGACCACGGCTCTGTTCGCCTCCCAAATGGTCTCCAGACTGTAGCCGCTCTCGTCCAAACCCGAGATGTTCTCCACCAGCATCAACAGCAGGTCTCTGGACGTGTCGTCCTGAATGTTTTCCAGCACTACAGCTCTGCTCTGGACACACTCCGAGTCTGAGAGGACACACACAGCACATAAACCTCTACCATCACCACCTCATCAGCTTCACGTCAGGAACTTTTCTGTTTTTGTTTTGAACATTTGCAAACATCAAAAAACAGTGATTAACAACTTAAGATAATAATTAACATCAGTAAATAAAAGGTTTGATAATATGATCACATATTCATGATGAACTTCTTTCCAGGAACATTCACAGGTTATGTGGGTCATGACAGCTGAGCTGCATCCTCTGATGAGGGCCATGAGATGGGGCTAAAAGCTCTGGAAAAGGCTAAGTAAACACAAACAAAGGCGGGACTGGACAAGTGACAGCTGCATCACGAACACCCTGTAGCTGTACTGTGCATCCTCTTCTTGTCTTTACCGTCTGTGTCGGCCGCAGCAGCTTCACACCCAGGTTCAGCTTTGGACTTCTGACACTTTGAATCCGCAGATGAATCTAAGAATCCAGAGAATCAGGTTGGTCCAGTTTAACTCGTCTTCATACACGAACACAGTGAAACAAGACCGTAACCAAAACAGCACTGTGCTCCTAAAATGTCTTGGCACCAAACAAAGACAGAACAAACAATTATATCTCACACGCACTGCTTCCTCCTGTTTGTGTGATAAAAACTACAGTGAGGAGATTTGTCAGAAAACGACAGTTTCTAAACACTGGACTATTGTAAGACTTATGTCTCCAGTGGGAACCACTGGGCTGAGCAGAGGACTTACCCGAGACGCCATCGCTGTTCGTGGGGCTCTGAGGACAAAACACAGATGCTTTAATCAGAAGGTGAAACGACGGCAGAGGAGGAACTGTGTCTAACAACCTGAAAACTGCCCAGATGTTTCAGCTCGGCAGTGGTGGGAGAAGCATTCAGATCCTTTACTGCAAAGTAAAGTATTGATCATTGTAATGGAGTATTTCTGCATTCAAGCACAAGTCACGTATTTACAACCCTACTTAAGTGGTAGTGCAGGACCACAGCATTGTGTACCTAATGCCCACCCGCAGTAAAAGTACTGGCTGTGCAGTAAAATGTCTCCTGTCTGATTTTACAGCTTCTTAGTGAGTCAGTGTTTATATGAAACCGATTCCAGTGCAGGTCATTTAAGAGCTCAGTGTAAACGTCACGGCTTCACTTAAGAGATGAAACCAGATGATTCACCACATCTGTGACATTATAAGACACTGTGGAAACTTAACTTCACGTTTAACTGAACTTCAGAGGAAATTTAGTGACAAAACTAAGAGTTTCACAGGTTAACACGTAGTGACGCTACTGAAAACTAGCAGCGCGTTTCCTCCTGGGTGATTTTACTGCCATAAACCTCGGGGTAAAACATTATCAGCCTCATTCCATCATCATGAATGTGGCCATGCAGGTGGCACGGCGGCACCGCGCATCGCCAGACCACAGTGACAGCAGAAGAAAAGCAGAACAACTTCCTGCTACATCACAATTTCAGGAAGTTATTTAGGCCACAGAAGAAGAAACGTGGGACATTATAAATGGAGCAGGTGGCATCACACAGACTCGGGGAGTGTTCATATTTATGGGCTCTAAGAAAAGTATTTATAAAAAACAAGACCCACTAACGCTCTAGGTATAAATTATGTAAAAGTACCAGTAAAATACTACAGAGAATATTTCATTTTGATCAGCAAACTGTACTTGTATCACAGTAAAAGTACTCGCTGTACTTTGATCAGATTACTGCCCCTGACTCATCGATGCTTGGGCAGCACTTCACTGTTGGAGCTGCTCCAGCTGGTTTAACTACTTTATAGACACTCCACTGGTTTAGTCCAGGGGTTCCCAACCTAGGGGTCTGGCCCCTCCACAGGGTCATCAGATGAACCTGAGGGGTCATCACATGACTCATGGAAAGGCGAGAAAGTACATTTCTGATTCACTGATCCGTTTCATTTTGTGGACACAGACACCTGAAATGTGAAATCTGTTTTTAGCTTTTGAATTTTTTCTAGTTAAATCACACACCAAAAAAGGACAGGCTGGTTTGACAGGTATGAAAATGAAACCAGGTGAGATGTTTAGAGGAGAAACGTCTCCTCGGAGGAGCTGATGACAACTCAGAGACACAACCAGACTCAGCTTTTTATACAACAGTCACAGCCAAACTGTGCTTTAGGTCAAATCCTAATTTACAAATTAACCATTAATTCAGAGCTGTCAAAAATGTAATGGAGTAAAAAGTGCAATATTTCTCTATAAAATGTACCAAAGTGTTAAATATTAAGAAAACAGGGTGGAAATACTCAAGTAAAGAACACATATGTCAACATGGCACAAGTACTGTACTGGAGTACCATCTACAACAAACTGCAATACCCTCACCAGTACCTCAAAATAGTATATTTACAGCAAACATAACTGAGACTGGAGCCTCTGTTTTTGATCTATTACTGAATCAACCCATTTGAACGCACAAACAGCTGAAACAGAGAAGCTGCTGCCTGTGCATGTTTTTATTACTGTGAGGATTTAAAAAACTGAGCAAAGGTAAAAGTTTTGATAAGAGACTGTCTGCACTTAACAAGACAGAGGACAGGCTAAACCCTGATGATGCATCTGTCCTTAAAGCCCACGATACAGGAGCTAAATGTGTGACTGAGGATGGTGCCAGAACAAAGGCCACGGTGGCATTAACATGAAAAGACTATCCTGTGGAGAGTAGGAGGGAGATCAGGACATCATGTCAGGCTCAACACTAAAGGTAAAGACACACTGGGAGGAGACAAAGGATGTTCACACTGTTCAGTTGTTACTCCAACATATCAGTATTAATCTGATGACAGCGTGTTGATGTTAAAAACAATAAAAACTACTTACTGCTGCAGAAACCAGCCGTAACTTCACAGTCTGATTCTCCACGATGATTTCATGATCCTGTCTCGCAAGGACTCGCTCCATCACTGCAACCACATGGGACAACGGTGTCACCATTAATCTCCCAGCAAGTAACAGCTCTACAGTCTCTGTGAACCAGGAAGTCTCCTGGAAATCAGGTGTATCTGATCACAAATGCTGCAAAATGACCCCCACTGTCAACCACGTTATTTATGATGCTTCACTGTCACGTCAGCCAAAGTCATTTTCCTAAAGATAAATGACCTGAACTGTGTGAGGCTTTGATTGTTCACAGTTTTGAAATAGTCTGAGCACAAACTGAACGTCACCTCCTTCATAGAGGAGGGTTTAGTACAGCACTGCTGGATTAGACTGACACAGGGGTTCCTAATAAACTGACAAGCGAGTGTGTTCTCATTCCAGGTTTTTCAAATCACCTGAACAGCACCAGATAAACAGAATGTAGTAACGGTATAAAGTAGGTGGCTTCAGGTCTGTGGTTGATTTGTGTACCTCAGTACATTTGTAGAAACGTTTTCACTTTGTCATTGTGAGTTTTATCGGTTACTCCCAACACACCTGGCCTTATCACTACTAGACTACCGGACCTGTTACTACTTCCGCTCCACCTGCAGTGTCCTCGTGTGATTGGTCCTCTGAGCAACTAGGAAGAGGAGCGGTGGCTGCAGTGCATGCTGGGAAGTCAGCCGAGAGCTCACGGTGTTTATTAATCAACATTAATGTGACGAAATGCTCTGGTGTAACATGATAAGCCTCACAGCTGAGGACTGTATATAAACACGACCCCTGAACTGAAACTGAAAATATGTCGACATTAACACACTGATCTGATGATTAATCTCATTGTCCAACCAGAGTTTAACGGTTTCATCGTGTCGTAGTGAAACTCGGGCCCGTTTACGTTACGACTCCACCGAGTATTTAGACTCGCCGTCTCTCGGTTTGTTGGACTTTTTGAAGTGAAAACCTCATAAATTAAACATTTCCCGACAGAAACCCACGGTAACCTGGCGGCTGAACTCACCCTCCTCGGACCTGAAGCGGACGGCGGCTCTCGGGGCCGCCTCGTCCACCTCCACCTGGCAGTCTCCTCCGCCGGACTTCTTCTTGCTCTGGAAGTACAGCTGCAGCTTGTTCTTCACGGTTTTGGTGTGAGCGGGGCTCCAGTCGCCCTCCACGACCAGCCGGGGACACTCGAGTCCTTCCATCACGCCGTCCGGTGCAGACTACCTGGGG